GTGGGAGATCTTTAGAATTTATAACGAATTGTGGTTTGAAAAAAATTTAAAATTTTAGGGGATGAGGGTGTACACGGTCATACGATACAGGGCACCCCTGTAATTCGCTTATCAGTGTTTGTGCCACAATGAAATTTAGAGTGGGAGATCTTTAGAATTTATGATAAATTATGGCTTGAAAAAAATTTCAAATTTTAGGGGTTGAGGGGGTGCACGGACATACCATACATATAGGGCACCCCTTTAATTCGCTTATCATTGTTTGTGCCACGATTAAATTCAGTGTGGGAAATCCTTAGAATTTATGATGAATTATGGTTTGAAAAAAATTTCAAATTTTAGGGGATGAGGGTGTGCACGGCCATACCATATAAGACACACCTGTAATTCGTTTATCAGTGTTTGTGCCACGATGAAATTCAGAGTGGGAGATCTTTAGAATTTATGATGAATTATAGTTTGAAAAAAATTTCAAATTTTAGAGGATAAGTGTGTGCACGAGCATACCATATGAGATATGAGGCACCCCTGTAATGCGTTTATTGTAATGCGCCTCTAATTGTAATGCCGACGCGTGTGAATGGAAATCACTGTACTTTGGCTGGTGCAAATATTCCCAATAAAGAATTTAAATTTTTTAACCCCGTTAGAACGACTCTTGGGGCGCCTTTATATTTGGTTATTAAATCACATGATTTTTCAGATGAGTTTGTCCCTTCAAATATCATTGACCAGCCCACCACGTGATACTGATTTTTATGTGAATACTTTACACTGCTACAATCCATACTTATGATATAGCTCATCTGAATTGACACTACACAGACAGTATTTACATTTTGGTGACAGTTGATGTTAAGGTTATTTTCAAAACCTTGAATCTTCAGTTGTAAAAAGAGAACACAGCATAATTTCTTTTTGATATTAACTTGTGAACCTATATTTTATTTGAGATGTCGGTAAAACAGATCACAAATATTAACACATCAGAATAGACACCGTTCTATTCCTTGGAACCGTCAACACTTCAACATGATTTTCTGTGTGACTGTCTTTAAGACAAGTTCCTTATGATAAAATCACTAGATATAAACGTAAAATTTTAGCGTATGACAAAAATCACGTGACTAATCATGTGATTAAATCACATAATGTAAAGGCGCCTTTAGTGATATTAATGACAAATTTAAAACATTTTCGAAAGAATATAATCCCGTATCGAATAAAAAATTCCCGTAACCAACTGGCATGCATAAGTTAGTGACAATTATAACAGGCAGTAAGATAGCTGCATCTGCGGAATTATAATAATTCAGTTATTCCATAATTTTCTTTAAAAAAATCTTCTGAAATCACATGCTGGCCAAATCTGTACAGAAATGAAATGAAACAATTAATTATTAAAAATTCCGACAATATGAGTGACTACTGTCTATATCGTGGGATTATAGAAAAAGAACAAACACTGATAAGCGAATTAAAGGGGTGCCCTATATGTATGGTATGTCCGTGCACCCCCTCATCCCCTAAAATTTTAAATTTTTTTCAAACCATAATTCATCATAAATTCTAAGGATTTCCCACACTGAATTTAATCGTGGCAGACACACTGATAAACGAATTAGGGGGGTGCTCTATATGCATGGTATGTCTGTGCACCCCCTCATCCCCTAAAATTTGAAATTTTTTTCAAGCCATAATTCATTATAAATTGTAAAGATTTCCCACACTGAATTTCATCGTGGCACAAACACTGATAAGCGAATTACAGGGGTGCCCTGTGTGGTATGACCGTGCACACCCTCATCCCCTAAAATTTTAAATTTTTTTCAAACCATAATTCATCATAAATTCTAAAGATCTCCCACTCTGAATTTCATCGTGGCACAAACACTGATAAACGAATTACAGGTGTGTCTTATATGGTATGCCCGTGCACACCCTCATCCCCTAAAATTTGAAATTTTTTTCAAACCATAATTCATCATAAATTCTAAAGATCTCCCACTCTGAATTTCATCGTGGCACAAACACTGATAAGCGAATTACAGGGGTGCCCTGTATGGTATGACCGTGCACACCCTCATCCCCTAAAATTTTAAATTTTTTTCAAACCATAATTCATCATAAATTCTAAAGATCTCCCACTCTGAATTTCATCGTGGCACAAACACTGATAAACGAATTACAGGTGTGTCTTATATGGTATGCCCGTGCACACCCTCATCCCCTAAAATTTTAAATTTTTTTCAAACCATAATTCATCATAAATTCTAAAGATCTCCCACTCTGAATTTCATTGTGGCACAAGCACTGATAAGCGAATTACAGGGGTGCCCTGTATGGTATAACCGTGCACACCTTCGTCCCCTAAAATTTTAAATTTTTTTCAAACCATAATTCATCATAAATTCTAAAGATCTCCCACTCTGAATTTCATCGTAGCACAAACACTGATAAACGAATTACAGGTGTGTCTTATATGGTATGCCCGTGCACACCCTCATCCCCTAAAATTTGAAATTTTTTTCAAACCATAATTCATCATAAATTCTAAAGATCTCCCACTCTGAATTTCATCGTGGCACAAACACTGATAAGCGAATTACAGGTGTGTCTTATATGGTATGGCCGTGCACACCCACATCCCCTAAAATTTTAAATTTTTTTCAAACCATAATTCATCATAAATTCTAAAGATCTCTCACACTGAATTTCACCGTGGCACAAACACTGATAAGCGAATTACAGGGGTGCCCTCTATGGTATGACCGTGCACACCCTCATCCCCTAAAATTTTAAATTTTTTTCAAACCATAATTCATCATAAATTCTAAGGATTTCCCACACTGAATTTAATCGTGGCAGACACACTGATAAACGAATTAGGGGGGTGCTCTATATGCATGGTATGTCCGTGCACCCCCTCATCCCCTAAAATTTGAAATTTTTTTCAAGCCATAATTCATTATAAATTGTAAAGATTTCCCACACTGAATTTCATCGTGGCACAAACACTGATAAGCGAATTACAGGGGTGCCCTGTGTGGTATGACCGTGCACACCCTCATCCCCTAAAATTTTAAATTTTTTTCAAACCATAATTCATCATAAATTCTAAAGATCTCCCACTTTGAATTTCATTGTGGCACAAACACTGATAAGCGAATTACAGGGGTGCCCTGTATGGTATAACCGTGCACACCCTCGTCCCCTAAAATTTTAAATTTTTTTCAAACCATAATTCATCATAAATTCTAAAGATCTCCCACTCTGAATTTCATCGTGGCACAAACACTGATAAACGAATTACAGGTGTGTCTTATATGGTATGCCCGTGCACACCCTCATCCCCTAAAATTTGAAATTTTTTTCAAGCCATAATTCATCATAAATTCTAAAGATCTCCCACTCTAAATTTCATTGTGGCACAAACACTGATAAGCGAATTACAGGGGTGCCCTGTATGGTATGTCCGTGCACCCCCTCATCCCCTAAAATTTGAAATTTTTTTCAAGCCATAATTCATTATAAATTGTAAAGATTTCCCACACTGAATTTCATCGTGGCACAAACACTGATAAGCGAATTACAGGGGTGCCCTGTGTGGTATGACCGTGCACACCCTCATCCCCTAAAATTTTAAATTTTTTTCAAACCATAATTCATCATAAATTCTAAAGATCTCCCACTTTGAATTTCATTGTGGCACAAACACTGATAAGCGAATTACAGGGGTGCCCTGTATGGTATAACCGTGCACACCCTCGTCCCCTAAAATTTTAAATTTTTTTCAAACCATAATTCATCATAAATTCTAAAGATCTCCCACTCTGAATTTCATCGTGGCACAAACACTGATAAACGAATTACAGGTGTGTCTTATATGGTATGCCCGTGCACACCCTCATCCCCTAAAATTTGAAATTTTTTTCAAGCCATAATTCATCATAAATTCTAAAGATCTCCCACTCTAAATTTCATTGTGGCACAAACACTGATAAGCGAATTACAGGGGTGCCCTGTATGGTATGACCGTGCACACCCTCATCCCCTAAAATTTTAAATTTTTTTCAAACCACAATTCGTTATAAATTCTAAAGATCTCCCACACTGAATTACATCGTGGCACAACCACTGATAAGCGAATTACAGGGTAGCCCTATATGTATTTCTATGTGTGTGCCGCCTGCATGAAATTACGGTTCGAACTAAAATCGTTGCTGGTAAATCGTTGCTGTCTTCACACCGGTAGAGCGATATAGCTGGAAACTTACATACTTATACGTACTTCATGTTTTATTTTATACATTTCCAAGTGTTATTCCGTGTTTATGGCACTGCAATATTGATTACTTCCAGTCTTCTGGGCCTACTGTAGACAACCTTATCGTAAATCATATTTCAGGTACCTACTCGGAGGCGGATCGTCTTATAGGGTCAATTCGCTTTCAAACTCGGTGTGCAACAAACCAAGGTAAATTAACATTTATGGTTGCTAGGGGCTATATTTTAGAACTAAAGTTGACATTTCTATAAAGAACATAATTTGTAATAGAGTCATCTTTGGAAAGGATTTAGGATGTCGGTGATTAAATCACACTGATGTGTCAAAAATGACAATCGAAAATCAAAAATGGCGGGTACTTTAAACAAGATTTTTAATAAAGTAAGTGTGACGATACAATTATTATAAATAATTTAATATCTTGTATGTTAATAAATACTTATCAAATAAATAAACTAACATTTGTAATTGTATTGCACCATACGTGATATGTTAATGTAGATGTGATTATAATAGAAATCAAAGATACATTGTCTTTTTAGGGTACCAGAACTTATTTAATCACCACATTTGAATTATTTTAAATTTATCAATGCAAAGTAGCCACCAACTGTGTAAATTTCTGGAGCACTACATCACTATCGATCGCACTATCAGCAATTTGTTTGTGATTTATCCATATAAAAGCACTTCTTCGTAGAACAATATTTACAGTAAAAATGAGCGCAACAGGTATTTTCGCTTTCTTTTTCACTTGTGTACTAACTTACTCGTTAGGTAAGGAGAAAAAACTGAAACTCGTTCATTGCATACAGTACACTTCCAGCTTTTTCGCCTAGTCACACCGACGACGAAGGTGAGGCCAGAATTGTTGGTGGTTTCGAGGATAACAAAGAAGATTATCCTTTCGTGGTGTCTTTGAGAGGTGCAAAGAATAATCATTTTTGTGGTGGCACGCTTATTAACCATGAGTACGTCATTACTGCTGCGCACTGTGTAGTAAGGTAGGTAAAAAAAATATTTGTCGTGAAGCCATAAAATTCCAGTGATATATTTACAATGGACTCAAAATTTTAATAACGTTGGGGCGCAGCTTGTCGTTATGGAGAGTGCTATAAAATTTAAATTGGATGAATTGCCAAGGATACGCTGCGTCAGCTTGGAGGTATCAACAAATGTTGGGTCTATTATTGTAAAAATTTCACTCGGAATTTATAGCTTTACTGACGCGATGGGACAGAGTGAATTAGGCTTTATGATGATGTACATACACTAACATTGTCGTGAAATTTTCATGTTTAGTACTCTCTGTACTAACATCTACTAATTTATTTCTTTAATCAGGACGGCTTTCGCCACTAACGCTAAAGAGAAACAGAGAAACTTTATATTAAATTTGTCCCTAAATTATTTATCTTTTTATTGGTGGTTTATTCACTCAGTTTTCTCCGATTCAATAAAAGCTCGAGCAATATTGAATTCTGCACAATATAGCCGTGTTGCAGCCTATATTGCTTGATTTTTTGTTCCCTTCTTCCACAATGTACGTATAGAAACGTAGTTCTCCTTCTTAAATTCTATCCTGCAGGAAATTACCAGGCTATATATTTTTTAAATTTTGTTAATTTCTCAAGGGGTACATTACATTTGAACGGACAAAGGGAACATTTTCTGGGGTTTTCCCATTCGATTTCTTATAGTTTTTTGGGTATTGGAGTATATTTTCAGCTATGTACCTATGTCCGTTTAGAATCCACATACACATTTATCGGACAATGTCATTTTCGGGAGATTTAAATATCAAAAAAATAAATAAAACGAAAATCAGGGGCCTTTCTACAATTTTTGTGGCCCTAGAGTCTTATTCAGGAGGTTCGAATTAGGGAAACTGATTGAAAGAAAAGACCATCTGAAAATTTTCTTAAAAAATAAACATGTTTCAATATTTGTGAAATTAAGTTTTTCGATTCGTATTGAGTGCGTTTTTGGGATCGGTTCTTGAAAATGGAAGTTCCGAATTTTTCACGGTATTTTAGAACTCTTCAAATTTCGAGCACTTAGATTATTATTTGTGGGATCAATATTTTTTTATTTTTGCAAGTTTTAAGTTTTTATAATTCCTGAATTAGAACTTTCGTAATTTTTGCTATTTTTAAAATTGCGTTAGTCGCTGGATTTTTCAGAAAATATGAACCTTTTTTTAATTTTTGGCGTCATGAAGTTTTAGGAATTTGTAGAATTTTTTATTTTAGATTTTTTTTTGTTTATCGAATTTTTGAAATTTCTAAGTGTTAGTTTTTTACTAATTACCACCCTTCGGGAATTTTTATCTATTAAAAAAAATGTTGAAATTTAATTTTTGACACTTCGGATTTCTGCAATTTTAAAGTTTCTAGATTTTTGAGACATTTGGAGGTTCTAAATTTTCTAGAATTTTTAGAAATTTTCAACATTTAGGCTATTTGTGGAATCTATGAAGTGTTCGATTTTTGATAGATTTTTGCAATTTTTCAGTTTTTACAAGTTCTGTATTTTCAAAATTTTTCAAATCGTTTAAATCTCTACATTTTCCGAAAATATCAATCTTTTCGTATTTTTTGGTATTAAGAAATTTTAGGAAGTTGTAGAATCTTTAAAGTTTTTAGAATTTTTTAGTTTATTAAATTTTTGGGGTTGTCAGAATTTTTGAAATTTCTATGACTGACTGGAGTTTTCCAGTTTTTGTTTATTAAAAAAATAGTTTGATATTTATAAAATTTTTAAAATTTTTGACATTTTTGAAACTTCCGATTTTTTGGAATTTTAAAGTTTCTAGTTCTTTGAGACTTTTGAAACTTCTGAATTTTCTAGGATTAAAAAAAAAACAATTTCAAGCATTTGAATTTTTGTGGAATTTGTGGAGTTCTCTAAGTATTGCAATTTTTTGTATAAAATATATATTTATAATTTCTGAATAATTATGACTTATATGACGCATATTTTGAAATTGCTTGACTCTCTGGATTTTTGGAAAATATGAACCTTTTTTTCACTTTTGACATTACGAAGGTTCAGAAATTTGTAGAACAGTTAATGTTTTAGAATTTTTTGGTTTACTGTTAAGTTACAGTTTTTTTTACAATTAAGACGCTTTTCGAATTTTGCCAATTTTTATTCAGAAAAAAATAGTTTGCAATTTTAAAATTCCTAGAATTTTTGACACCTTCGGTGCTTCTGGATTTCGAAAATTTTTAAGTTCCTAGATTTTTGACACTTTTGGATGTTTTGAATTTTCTAAGATTTTTATTTTTTTTTTAAATTTCAAACATTTTGAATATTTGTGGAATTTGTAAGTATTAATAATTTCTGTTTAGGTCTCTATATTTTCGGAAAGTATGAATCTTTTTGTATTTTTTGGCATTATGATGGTCCAGGAATTTATACAATCTTTAAAGTTTTTTAGAATTTTCTGGCTTATTGAATTTTTGAAATTTCTGAGACTTACAGGTGTTTTACTATTTATGACCCTTTTGGAATTTTCGAATTATAATGAAAAAAAAAATTAAATTGTTAGTTAATTTTTGCAATTTTTTAATTTTTATATTTACTGAATTTTCGGAAACGATGAACCGTTTTGTAATTTTTGGCATTATGAAGTTTTAAGAATTGTAAAATCTTTAGAGATTTTAGAACTTTTGTGTCTATCGAATTTACATTCTTTAATAGATTTTTGCAATTTTTCATTTTTTATAATTTCTCAATTAAAACGTCTGTATTTTCGTAGTTTTTGAAATTGTTTAAGTCTATATTTTCGGAAAAAATGAACCTTTTTGTATTTTTTCGCATTATGAAATTTCAGGAATTTGTAGAATCTTTAAAGTTTTTAGATTTTTTGGTTTATTGAATTTTTGGAATTGACTGAATTTTTTAAATATCCAATTTTACCATTTATGACCTTTTTGGAGTTTCTGAGTGTTTTTATTTATTAAAAAAAATGGTTTGATATTTTAAAATTGTTAGAATTTTATATAGTTTTGAAATTTCTGGATTTTTGGAATTCTGAAGTTTCTAGATCTTTAAGGCTTTGGAAAGTTGTAAATTTTCTAGGATTAAAAAATTATAATTTCAAGCATTTAAACTATTTGTGGAATCTAGAATGTCCATTCTTCCATAGATTTTTGCAATTTTTACTTCCCGAGCGTAAGCAAAGGAAGTATTGTAATCGAGTCCGTCGGCCGACTCTCTACTTTTACGTTTTCTCGATCTTTCATGACCCCTAGAAGACGAAGAAATAGGTCTCCCATTTCCGTCTGTCTGTCCGTCTGTCCGTCTGTCCGTCTGTCCGTCTGTCCGTCTGTCCGTCTGTCCGTCTGTCCGTCTGTCCGTCTGTCCGTCCGTCTGTCCGTCTGTCCGTCTGTTGTCACGGATTTTTATTAGACAGATAATCTCCGAAAGTACTCGACCGATTGTTGTGAAATTTTGTACTTATATTAAGAATATCATGTAGATGGTAAAACGCTAACCAAAATTTGTCGAATCATCCCCACCACTAAAGCGATGACGTCACTTCAAAATTGTACATAGTAAATGGGTTTTCAATTGTATAAAATAACATAGTCCTACACATGTAGTTTACAACTCTGAATCGACTTTTCACCCGAAACGTCCAGATTTTTGGAAAAAAAATCAAAATTATAAAACAACATTTTGAAATTTAATTTTTAATCTGCTAACCAGAATGCTTTGAAATGTTGCAGATGTTTTAAGGCTATAAAGAGCATCATAAATCTTTAGTCAAAAAATATTTGCTTATCCCCTCCAAAAACTTGATGACGTCAGCTCAAAAGTTTGTGGAATAAATCATATCTAAAATGTACAAAATATGATGAGTCTGTACTTGTGAACTATCACTCCATTAATATTTTTTGGATTTGCATATACAGGGTGACTCAAAAAAATTAATGAATGCGTAAATATATTTTATTGATTTAATCAGGAACTACAAAACCGAATGCTCTGAAATCTTGCAGATGTTTTAAGGTCATAAAGAGCATAATAAATGTTTAGTCAAAATATATTTGCTTATCCCCTCCAAAAACTTGATGACGTCAGCTCGAAAGTTTGCCGAATAAATCATATCTAAAATGTACAAAATATGATGAGCCTGTACTTGTCATTTATCACTCCATTCATATTTTTTGGATTTGCATATACAGAGTGACTCAAAAAAATTAATGAATGCGTAAATTTATTTTATTGATTTAATCAGGAACTACAAAACCGAATGCTTTGAAATCTTGCAGATGTTTTAAGGTTATAAAGAGCATAATAAATTTTTAGTCAAAATATATTTGGTTATCTTCTACAAAAAACTGATGACGTCAGCTCAAAAGTTTTCCGAATAAATCGTATCTAAAATGTACAAAATATGATGAGTCTGTACTTGTGATTTATCATTCCATTCATATTTTTGGATTTGCATATGCAGGGTGACTCAAAAAAATTAATGAAGGCGTGAATTTATTTTATCGATTTAATCAGGAATTACAAAACCGAATGCTTTGAAATCTTGGGAATATTTTAAAGTTATTATAAGCATGGTAAACTTTTGTTCAAAATGTATTTGTTCATCCCTCCTAAAAAAATTGATGACGTCACCCTTAAATTTTGCTGAATAAATCCTATCTAAAATGCAAAAAATACGATGAGTTTGTACTTGTGATTTATCATTCCATTCATATTTTTTAGATTTTCTTAAGAGGTGGTTCAAAAAAATTAATGAAGTCAATTTATTTTATTGATTAAATTAAAGGCAACACTTATTATTAGTATTACACCCCAACCAACCCAATTTGGTAGACACAAAATTTGTTAAAGGAAAAACTCGGTTGAAACAAGGGTAGCACGCTTATTTACATCGACTTTAACATTACAGACCTGCATTTGTTTTATGCGTTCACTTGATTCCGCGAATGTGAAATAGACATGTTTATAATCAACCAATTGTGAATTTCACCGTCAAGAATTAAAATAAAACCCAATGTTTTATATAATAAGCGGAAGTCGAAGCAATAAAACCGACGGTCGTTTTGTTTACAGTTTCTGTGTTTGGCTCTCACGTATGCTGTTACGCCTGTCATCTTAAATTAACAATGTTTATACATACACGATTTTCAGTTGCCTCTGATACGTAGGTATACGTGAGTAAATTGTTTCGTTATTTTATTGATTATTACAAATCAATATTCAAACGACCCAATTCATTTTCCCGAAAATTTGAGAATATAATAATTTTATTCTTAGTATTACACTACATCTATCCCAACTGATATACGTGTCCTTGCAAAAATGTTGATGACGTCATCGCAATTTTTTTTTAAATTCCCACTACAAAAATGTAATGAGAAAAAAAACACAATAGGCATGCAGTCGTCAAGTTTCCGACAGCGAGGGAAGTACTGTCTAAACTCTTTAGACCAATTTTTTGGTTTACTGTTAAGTTACAGTTTTTTTACAATTAAGACGCTTTTTTATTCAGAAAAAAATAGTTTGCAATTTTAAAATTCCTAGAATTTTTGACACCTTCGGCGCTTCTGGATTTCTAAAATTTTTAAGTTCCCAGATTTTTGACACTTTTGGACGTTTTGAATTTTCTAGGATTTTTATTTTTTTTTTTAATTTCAAACATTTTGAATATTTGTGGAATTTGTAAGTATTCATAATTTCTGTTTATGTCTCTATATTTTCGGAAAGTATGAATCTTTTTCTATTTTTTGGCATTATGATGGTCCAGGAATTTATACAATCTTTAAAGTTTTTTAGAATCTTCTGGCTTATTGAATTTTTGAAATTTCTGAGCCTTACAGATGTTTTACTATTTATGGCCCTTTTGGAATTTTCGAATTATAATGAAAAAAAAAAATTAAATTGTTAGTTAATTTTTGCAATTTTTTAATTTTTATATTTACTGAATTTTCGGAAACGATGAACCGTTTTGTAATTTTTGGCATTATGAAGTTTTAAGAATTGTAAAATCTTTAGAGATTTTAGAACTTTTGTGTCTATCGAATTTACATTCTTTAATAGATTTTTGCAATTTTTCATTTTTTATAATTTCTCAATTAAAACGTCTATATTTTCGTAGTTTTTGAAATTGTTTAAGTCTATATTTTCGGAAAAAATGAACCTTTTTGTATTTTTTCGCATTATGAAGTTTCAGGAATTTGTAGAATCTTTAAAGTTTTTAGATTTTTTGGTTAATTGAATTTTTGGAATTGACTGAATTTTTTAAATATCCAATTTTACCATTTATGAGCTTTTTGGAGTTTCTGAGTGTTTTTATTTATTAAAAAAAATGGTTTGATATTTTAAAGTTGTTAGAATTTTATATACTTTTGAAATTTCTGGATTTTTGGAATTCTGAAGTTTCTAGATCTTTAAGGCTTTGGAAAGTTGTAAATTTTCTAGGATTAAAAAATTATAATTTCAAGCATTTAAACTATTTGTGGAATCTAGAATGTCCATTTTTCCATAGATTTTTGCAATTTTTATAATTTCTGAATATTTAGGAGTTTTGTAATTTTCACAAATTTTTAAATTGCTTCAGTCTTTGGATTTTCGGAAAATATGAATCTTTTTATAGCTTTTGGGCTTATGAAGATTCAAAAATTTATAGAATTAAAGTTTTTAGAATTTTTTGGTTTACTGAATTTTGGAATTGTGTGAATTTTTGAAACTTCTAAGTATTGCAGTTTTTTTATTATTTGCCACCTTTTTGGAATTTTAGAATTTTTATTTATTAAAATAAATAGCAATTTTAAAATTCAGGATTTCTAGAATTTTAAGTTTTTTTAGAAATTTTCAAAATTTCGGGCATTTAGACATTTTTGCAATCTGTAAGTATTCAAATTTCTGTTCTTTAATAGATTCTGCAATTTTTGAAATTGTTTAAGTCGCTGCATTTTCGGAAAATATGAACCTTTTTGTATTTTTTGGCATTACCAAAGTTTACGAATTTGTAGAATCTTTCAAGTTTTTCCAAATTTTTTGGTTTATTGAATTTTTGAAAGTTCTAAGATGTTTTACTATTTACGAGAATTTTTGACACTTTTGGAACTTCCAAATTGGGTAGGAACAGTGGGAATTTCATAAAGATTTTTTAGAAATTTTCATGGTTTCAGGCATTTAGACTATTTGTGGAATCTGCGCAGTTCTCGAATTTTCATTCTTCAACAGAATTTTGCAATGTTTTAATTTTTATAACTTTTGAATTATTAGAACTTTTTTAACTAAGATAATTTGATATAGTCTCAATTCGAAAATTTGCTCAAAATATAAACATGTTTGAATCTTCCTGAAATTAAGTTTTCAAACTAATTTGCCCCAGCTGAGTGCGGGATTTTAAAATTAATTTTTTTTTTCCATGTGTAGCACTGTCATTTTAGTAAATGTCTGATTTCATGTTTTATAGACATTTCACAGTTTATGCAATTATGTCTTTCTGTCTTTGTCGTCTTTCGGTGTCTGTCTAATAAAATAACTGCCAGATAATATTCGAAATTACTGGACTCATAGCTGTGTAGTTCGCAATCAAAATTTATTTGTTCATCCTGGCAAAAATTTTAATTACGCCATCAAATTATGGGCGGGGATAAACAGATAAATTAAAATTAAAATAAAAACTAGCACACAATTTTATGCTAAATTTATGTTGTTTTAAATAAATGTCTATGTCTATATTCATATATGTATATAAAATTTATCTCTTTTGAAGAAAATTAGTTTCATGTGCTTTGACGTATTTTTTTATAAATCAAACAAATCCAGCATTTTAGAAAAAAAAAGTACCAGTCACATGATGAGATCGAACCCACAGCATTCGTGTTATTTTCATAGCAGTTTGCCTTTTTGTTTTAGATGGGTAAAAGCTCAAGATAGATTCATAAACCACAAGTACAGGAGTAAATTTTGAGGTGACGTCATCAAATTATTGCAAAATGTTTGAGTAAAGTTAACTGTGTTTAATTTACTCCTATTTTGAACATTATAGGTTAATGTAAAAAAATAAAAAAGTACAGTTTGGTTGACGCACGTAATGACCTCCTTTAAAACCTTGGTAACTTACGTAAGTCCATGAATACACTTCAGTAAGTGTTTTTATCTTAATTAGAAACAGAAATGCACAGAATAAAAGATAAGTAAAGAACTAGACTAACAATTAGAAAGCCATCAAACTTGGTTTAAAGTGTATAATATGCATGTTATTTTATAAAAATAAAATATAAAAAAATTTAAATAGCTTTTCTATTTAAAATTTTGAGGTAACGTTATAAATTGTTGGTAGAGATCGATATTTCTGGCTAATTCCAGCGATAATTTCCAGTGGACACGAAAAATACGTGGTTATTGGCAGCGACTCCCTGGACCGAGGTGGAACCCTTCACAAAGTAATTTCCATACATGTGCATCCAGACTACGACCCGAAGTTGGTCAGAAATGACATAGCAATACTACAAATAGAGAAAGAAACGACTTATAAATCTTCATTTCCTGCTAGAATGCAAACCAATTTGTCGGATTACGAAAATCCGTGCTACGTAATGGGCTGGGGTTTGACTGAAGCAGGCGGCAACCTATCGAATAAATTTAAAATAGCACCAGTGCAACCTGTAAATCCGAAAAAGTGCGAAGAAGAATGGAAAGAAATGTATAATCCACGTCTAATCTGCACCAGTAGCGAAGGAAACGCGGCGTGTCACGGGGATTCTGGAGGACCTTTAATCTGTGAAAATAAGTTCGCAGGAATCGTGTCTTTCGGCAAACCATGCGCTACAAGGAAACCTGACGCGTTCACAGCCGTCAGTTGCTACAACGATTGGATTGATTCAATAATACATTAGCTTATTTCATTAGAGGAATTTGATGTAGTAGCATAATAAATATAAAACGAAGATAAAAACACACAAGTTTTACTTTTATTACAAAATAATTTTTTTACAGCTTTTTAACAGGTAGGAAAATACATTAGGTTAATATTCACAAATACCAAGCAATATTTCAGCAAGTCCGTTTATTGCAAAAATTTGCATTAGTATAAATTTAATGAATATTTAACAGTTATGGTCTGACAGCACTCTTGTCTTCCCTTATCTCACATAAACATATTTATTGTTTTGTTTTGACTATAATCTGTCAATTTTGCACTATTAAATGGGGGAACGGACACGACCATAACTGTATATTTGGTTGCATAACCTAATTTTTATTTTCTAATTTAAAGATTCCGATCATCGAAAAATATTGTAACAACACGTTGGTTAAAAACTAGTTAAGGACGTCTCTTTGATTGCACTAATTTTTGTGGTACAATAAGTTAGAAAAAAACAAGCAAATACCAGGGAAACGAAACAAGTTTGGTTTCGCTTCGGCGGATTTATTACAATTTATGTCAAGGAAAGAGCGGCAGAGCTGGAAACTTTGAATACATAGTTCATGTTTTATTTTGTACATTTCCAAGTGTTATTCCGTGTTTATGGCACTGCAATATTGATTACTTCCAGTCTTCTGGGCCTAGTATAGATAACCCTGTCGTAAATCATCTTTCAGGTACCTACTCGGGGGCAGATCGTCTTATAGGATCAATTCGTTTTCAAACTCGGTGTATAATAAACTAATTAACATTAGGGTTGCTGCATCGCTTGTAGGGGCTATATTTTATAAATTGTAATCGAGTTATCTTTGGAAAGGAATCAGAATGTCGGTGATTAAACCACACTGATAAATGTCAAAGAATGACAATTGAAAAGCAAAAATGGCGGGCACTTTAAACGAGATTTTCAATAAAGTAAGTGTGAAGATACAATTATTATAATTAATTTGATATTTTGCATGTAAATAGATACTTATCAAATAACTAAAGTAATATTTGCAATTTTATTTCACCACACGTTTTAGTTTAGTTGGTTATAGGGTAATATTCTAATAGAAATGAAAGATACACTATCTTTATGGGGTGCTAGAACCTATTTATTCAGGATACTTGAATTACTTTAAATTTATCAATGCAAAATAGTCACCAACTATATAAACTTCTTGAGCACTAGCTGCACTATAACACTATCGGGTCGTAGTAGCAGCAATTGTTTGTTGCTTATCCAGATAAAACACTTTTTTCTATAATAATATTTATAGTAAAAATGAACGAAACAGGTATTTTCGCTTACTTTTTCACTTGTGTAATAATCTATTCTTTGGGTAAGGAGAAAAAATTGAAACTCCTTCGTTGCTTACAATATACTTCCAGCTTTTCCTCGTATCTACACCGACGACGAAGTTAAGTTCAGAATTGTTGGTGGCACCGAGGGTAACAAAGAAAAGTTTCCTTACGTGGTGTCTCTAAGAGATATAGATGATCACCATATTTGTGGTGGGTCGCTGATTAATGACGAGTACGTCGTTACTGCTGCGCACTGTGCAACAGGGTAGGTATTTTAACAAAAATTAGTCGAAAGTTGTTTCCACATTTTCGAAAAATTATAAAATTTGATTTTGCGAATTTTGTAAATATTTTTAATAATTTCAAAAGTGTGTGTTACAAATCGATGAAAAAAGCAAAATAAGAATGAAAAACGATATTACAAACAAAACTTAGGAGGCACCACTTTATGCACAATCTCGAAATCATATGTGTCAACAAAAGGTCAGTTGCAGACGAGATCATATTTTTGTAATAACCAAATTAAAAACAAATAAATTTTATTTTCCATTACATTTAGGCCAGAAGGGGTTCCTTAACTTCGGGGACCTGATGCTCCAGCATCACAAATATATCCGCATAAGTCGTCTCTGCACAAGTACGGACATTGTAAAATATATTTACAACACATTATTAACGGGAAAAGTGGTCTCAGCAATATGCGTAGTGTTTAAAATGTTTATGTAGACATTTGTTTAATCTGAATGAGTTTATCGCCTCAAAAAAGATGACTAAAATTGTGAATAAGCCGCAATTGAACAAAATATTCTGTTCATTCCCGCAAAAATTTTTATTTGCCCCATTAAATTGTTGGCGAGAATGAACAGATGAATTACAATAATAAAAAAATAGCATAAAATTTTATACTAAATTTATGTGTGTGTTCGAAAATCGAATTTTGTTTTTTAGAGGTAGACACATATATAAAACTAGTGGGGGACTAAATTTTGAAGTGACGTCATCAAATTAATGGTGACATCATCTGTAAAATTTTTGAGTGGAGTTAATTACATAGGTCGTATTAGAAGTACATGGTTTTATTTGTGCGTTAATTTGCTTTTTGAACGTCAAAAGTTAATGTGGAAAAATAAAAGTTTACAATTAAAATTACCTATTTAACTTTGGTAACTTATCTAAATCTATGAATAGACGTCACTAGATAAGTGTTTTTATCTTAATTAGAAACAGAAATGCACAGAATAAAGCATAAGTAAAGAACTAGTCTAATGATTAGAAAATCGTTAAACTTGGTTTACGGTCTATAATATGCATTTTTTATCACGCTTTTTATTAGCTTGGGTTGTATGTATCTATCTATGTATGTAACGGAATCTTTGAGCTTAATTTTCATCGGTTTCTAAAAGTCTGATCATCTTGAAACTTTGTACACGTCTCAAGGATCGATGACAATGCAATAATTTGATAACAGTTTCCCATTATCCTTATTAGGACCGCCAGGATTTATAAATTCTTTTATGGATCCTGTGTAGTGGAGTAAAAGAGATAAAGCTAGCGCGCGATCTGCGCATGCCTGTAGTATCTGGTTTACTCTTCGTTGTAATTATAGTCTTGATTAAAATACAAATAACGGATATTAAATGAAAAAAACAAGAACGGACTTTTAATTAACTAAACGTGTGCAAAAATGGCTGATCCCATCTTAATTAGCCAAATACACTGACGTCATCCGAGGTCATCAAGATGGCAGCGTTTGACAACTAGCTGGTTTCCTCATAAGAGTCAATGCTAATATTTTCGGAATTCATTTAAATTTGAGAGTGTGTCAACTGTGTTTTTATAGTCTGGTAAGTTTGTTACAGTTTCTAGACTGTGTAGATATCTGTAAAACGCACCATAACGTTTAAATATCCTTAAAAAATAATGTTTTCCAATGTGATGTACAGGTTAATTTCGCTGCATCTTATATTATTTGTTTTGCAAATTAATTCTGTGTTAATGTACATCAATGTTTTTTAAATACACTAGCATCTTAATATTATAATGTTTTGTATTTTAGGAGAAAATGCCTAAATTTTGTGCTGTTGTGGGTTGCGCGAATCGAAGCACCAGAAATACGGACAAATTTTATTTTCCTTTCCCAGCAATTAGCAACAATACAGGTAAATATGTACAGGATGGGGAAAAGGCGGAAGCTTTGGTTAAAAGCCTTGAAACGAGTGGATTTAACGAAGCCAAAGTAAAGTATTCCTATATTTGTTCGGATTATTTTATTTTAGGTACAGTAACTACCTATTAGGTTTACAGTTTCTAATAAATTACTACATTGATGCTGTTTTAGGTAAACCTGCAGATTTGTCGGATGTGGACCAGCCTGATTATGTTCCATCACAAAATTTAGGATATCAAAATAAATTCACTCATAATACTTGTAATGTTGAAAGACACAGTCATTTAAAAAAGAGAAAACTGAATAAACGCCTCTAGACTTTTGAATGCACGAATTTCATTGTGGGTTATTTTACTTATTCCAAAAATAAAAAAGTTTAGAATGGTATTCATTGTTATGGTAGGGACATCGTCTAAACACAAATTAAAATCACTTGCACTCATTATATAAGGATTTACGCCGTTTAAATTACCCATACTTTAAAAACAAACCACACATCTTCATTTAAACCCGTTACATTAACCTCAAACGAAAATATTAATTTCCGATTTACCGCTTAAAACACACGGATGTATTTTGGGTGACGAGGAATTCAGACCAAAACAGCGTTCTGTATTTTTATGGTTATTATGTATTTCTAAACTCAAATCGCCAAAAAAAGCACCCTGATACACAGAAAAGATATGAAAGAAGCTACTGACGTGTTTATTTTCTAGATAAATATCCACACTTTTAAATAAAATGCGAAAATGTTAACATTGTCGCTTACGAAGTTTCACGGCGCTTGTCAAACGCTGAGTTCCCGCCACAGCGTGACGTCACGTGTTATTGGCTAATTGTGTCAGTATATACCACGGTTATCTCTCTCCGTGTCGATTATACCGATCTATACCGATTATTTCTGTTTCAAGGACAATTTCTGCATAGCTTTGGTTCTACAGTCGGTAAAGAAGGAATTAATTATAATTAAAACATATCTAATCATGAATTCTCACCAACTTAAATAAAGATAACAAATTTTGATTCAGAAATACAAACATGGAGGAAAATTAACTATTTGGGGGGTAAAACTAACCACAATGATGAATTGTGTCCCGTTGGTCCGTGAGGGCGATTGATTTCGAACTAATTCCCGTTGATCGATCATACGGAGACCACTGAGTGGTTCTTTCTAGAAAAATCTAAATAAGTAATTAATTCCCCAATTTATGAATTTGTCGCAGACTAAAAAATGAAAAATAAATAATAGTTTAAAAAACTAAAAAAACACGCTTTTATTGCTAATCGAACTAAAAACTAGAAAATAATTTTTAATGACAGAGTTTAATATTACAGTAGTAGAAGATCAAACAATCAATCATAATAAATCACCTCAAATTAAAATTATAATAAAATTTAAGTTATTAACAGAATAATTCAATTCAGAGTAAAAAGCGTGGGGTGCATTTTACTGCGGTTCATAACTATCCTCTCATAGATAGTTGCCAATAGAATGATTGTAATATTTAAAATATCAAGCACCCCACGCTTTTTACTCTGAATTGAATTATTCTGTTAATAACTTAAATTTTATTATAATTTTAATTTGAGGTGATTTATTATGATTGATTGTTTGATCTTCTACTACTGTAATATTAAACTCTGTCATTAAAAATTATTTTCTAGTTTTTAGTTCGATTAGCAATAAAAGCGTGTCTTTTTAGTTTTTTAAACTATTATTTATTTCAAATTCTTAGCTTGAATAGTGGCTGAAATTTATTCAACTTCAAATATGTTTTTTTAATCTTTTTGGAGATTATCTCAGGACTTCCTAGGCTTTTCCTGGTCTATAAATGGCGATATAAAGTAAACTAAAAAGAGTATTTTGTCCTAAATTCAGTGATGTGTCATATTTGTATAATTTTTAAATTTTGGTAGTGTTATGTAGATGGTTTGCAATAGTACAAACACAACTTGAAGTGATGCTCTAGAGTGATATGCAACTTAATTTTTTTGCGAAAATCTGAATGTCTAGGGTAAATAATGAAGGCGGATTCATACACCACAAATATCCACAAGTACAAAAGTATGTTATTTGATAAAATGTGAATAGCATTTACCATATAAAATTTTGAGGTAACGTCATCAAATTGTTGATAGAAATCGATATTTTTATTAACTCGTTCTTGCTAACTCCAGTAATAATTTCCAGTGAAATGACAGATTCCGTGATTATTGGCAGCACCTACCTGGACAAAGTTGAAACCCGTGCCAGATCACTCTACGGACATGTGCACCCAGACTACGATAAGCGTACGCTCGTACATGATATAGCTGTACTGCAAATAGACAAACAAACGAGTTATAACTCTTCATTTCCTGTTAGATTGCGAACCAATTTCTCGGATTACGAAAATCCGTGCTACGCGATGGGCTGGGGTTGGACTAAACCACAACCACCATCATCGAATATATTCAAAATAGCGGTGGTGCAGCCTGTGAAACCGAAAAAGTGCGAAGAAGAATGGAAAAGGGCATATTATCCACATCTAATCTGCACCAATAGCACAGGAGACGCGGTGTGTCGTGGGGATTCAGGAGGACCTCTAATATGTGACAATAAGTTAACAGGAGTGGTGTCTTTCGCCAAACTTTGCGGTACAGGGAGACCTGACGCTTTCACAGCCATCAGTTTCTACAACGATTGGATTGATTCAATAATAAATCAATAATAAATTAGTTTGTTTCATTAGTCGAATTTGATGTAGTTACACAATAAATATGAAACGACTATAAGAATACACAAGTGAACTTTTACTTTGATTATAAAATACATTTTTACAGTCTTTTAACAGGTAGGAAAATAGATGAGGATAATATTTACAAAAACCAAGCAACATTTCATGACCGCACACCGGCGAGGTTTGGCGTTAAACGTACAGTCCATTTGTGCATCGAACGCATCACAGCAAGTCCGTTTATTGCAAAAATTTGCATTCATTTAAATTTAAAGCTTCAGTTAATGTATAGTAAACCAAAAGCTATAAGGTTATATGGCTTCTTAAAATTATCCCATTCTGTCGATGTCAAGTTGTTTACAATAGAAAAGGTTTTAGGGTTGTAAAAACCCAAACTTCCCGCCTTTAAATTGACCTTGAAAAAGTTTGAAAGGCCCGCGAAAAATTTAAAAATTCAAAGTTTGGCCTTGGCTGTGATCGTCTAACAAATAGGAACCTACGCTGTGTGCGTTTTTTTTTTGGTTTTGAAAAATGGCGGGAAGACGTTCTTTCATACAAGTGCATACACTGCATGTGAGTTGAGAGCGCAAGAAATTATAGACAAAATTTAGGGAGGGGCCACAATGGGACCCTTCCTTAGTAGGAAAAGAAACGAAGAGCGAAAGGGACTCAGCGTGCCCTTCTGGTGACTCCGCAGGGCCAAAGCGTCATCGGTCTTCATTCCCCAAAACCCCCTAGGATTTTATTCACCGAAATATTACATTTCAAACACCTTAAGATCTATGAAAGAAAACACCCGCGAATTGACAGATATGAAATATATGAAAAACGAACAAACGTAAAATTCTATAGATCTGTTTAGAATCAATGCAAATATTTGAATATCACAAATTTAATAAAAACAAAGTAAAATCTGAATTAAGTAACTGGATGCAAATACACAAGTTATTACAGGTGTGTGGCGGCAGATCTTTTTTTTTAAGTTAGGGCAGTTAACAGGAGCACAACAAAAGTACCCCTGAGGCGTTGTAGCATAAGCGGAGTTTGGGGCTACCGGTCTGGGGCTGTTCTCCCCCCACGACGGTGATTCCATCTATCACAAAGCCTACCCCACATCCATATCTCCATTACGAACGTGCCCTGCGGAACTAGGCCATTACGGTCACCAGACTCGCAAGAGGATCTCGGCTATGGACAGAAGCCGAGAACTTTACAACATCGGCGGCCGCCCCTGAATCTATCCAAACCTGTGGACTTGTACAGGTGACACGATCAATCTCGCCAGCTCGACTAGGAACCGAACTTTGCTTCTGCCATCTTGTAAAATTTTGAACAACAAATAATTCTTATGCGAGATTAAAATGGGACATCAAATAATTTAGATGATAGAAACATTCATCAACAAAATATTTACAAAACAACACTTAGCAAGAATTTATGAAACAAAATATCTGGTGTGAAATGAACTTGTACAAATAGAAATATTATGTGAGGTTAAAACTGTAGAACATGAAATTTACGTTGAATTAATATTATACAACAAAAAAAACTACTGCAGTTAAAACTGTGAGATTGCGAAATATTGTATGAGGTGGAAAATTGCAAATTACCAAAATTTACAGGAGATTGATATTTGCCACACTTTATCAACGGTTCAAACAAAGAGTTTACATTGTGTTAAATTATGTCTTGATCTAAGTGATTGGTTACTTAAAAAAAAAAAAATTACTTTGAGATTTTAAAATACCGCGAACTGGTTACCCCAACAAAACACATAATAAACAAACACAAAAATATCCAATCATAGCTCCGAGGGAAAAAGCGTCTCGGTGATGAAAATTTTAAAATCGTGCCTTGATAAATTAATAAATCTGTAGCGTTGTGAGGGCATGCCTTGATAAATTACTCAATCTGTAGCGTTGTGAGGGCATGTCTTGATAAATTAATCAATCTGAAGCGTTGTGATGGCATGCCTCGATGAATTAATCAGTTTGTGGCGTTGTGAGTGCATGCCTTTATAAATGATAATAACGATGATAACCTTATAGCTCTTGGGCTACTTTACCTACAACAGATATGGTCTCGCAGCACTATTGTTAAATATGGCCATATTTACAGACTTTTACAGAAATACAACATAAATACAAAAAGAGTTCCTATCTACACAGACTTTGGCGATCTGCTCCTTTAACTGTATTTCGAACAGTAGAAACAGGAAGCGAATTTTCATACATAGTGAGAACATTCCGAACTGCGGTCATTGTTCACTACGGTCACAGTGGCTGCATTGGCTTTGACTGTTGATCTTGCGGAAGCGTGTCTCTGGAGCCCTACATGCAAACTTAGATGGTCTCGATTGCTCTGCTGTCTCCTTCAGCGGCACGAACAAAGCAGGATTTCTTTCATGCCCCTGAAAAGATGAAAAATGTTGATGAAACTTTGTGTATCTTTCTGAAAAATGTTGAGTAAGGTTAAAAACTATGTTCTTTAAAGACGTGACTCAAAACGTTCCGCAAACTAGGTGCGTTGCTTGATTAAATTTGATTACGTTTTTTGTTATGAGTTATTTCATCTAAACGGAAAACGCTGGCTTGACGCTAGGTCAAATGTATATCTAACTGACTAAACGCACTATACATTCATGTATGTTCAAGTTGTATTTTTCAAATAAATTGTCTTTCCTTATCTCACATAAACATATTTTTTGTTTTGTTTTAATCCTATTTAATTTGTCAATTTTGTACTTTTAAATGGGAGAATGGGACACGCAGTAGTGTATATTTGGTTGCATAACCTAATTTTTATTTTCTAATTAAAACTGAACAGAGCTCTATTTCAAAGATAAAAACTCGGTAGATGTACAATTAGGTCGCACTCGAAAACAGGAAATACGTTAAAAATATACTACACACTTTTTACTTCCTCTCTTGTATTTAGCTCTGCTGGATTTTTACACTGCTCGAAAAAGGTACAATGTGTATTTACAACATATTTTAAATTCGAAAAATATATATTTTTCTTAATTTATTTGTGGTAACACAGTTTGAATTCAAATTTCGCGTCGAGAGAAAAAAAAACAACATTGCGAAATCGCATTTGAACAATTTGGATTTGAAAAATAAGTTAATAAGAAAATAACTTAAACAAAGGCAACTTTGTGCAATTTCAGTTAGGGTGGTACAACCTCGTCTAGGAAATGAGTGAATGTCAATCTTTAAGTTGGTAGTCGGTGAGGGGTTGGTAATGGCTTTGTTTATTGTTTGAAAATTCATAATTTATGTTAAGATTTTCAATGTACCTGGTTCTAACACAATTTAATAGCCATGAAATTGTTCATATTGTGATAACCTGATAACCCAAACATCCCGCCTTAAATTGACATGTGAAAAAAAATTGAAAAGCCCGCGAAAAAAGTTGAAACCTTCTTGGTGCTCAGCTAAAAAAAAAACTTTCCAAACTTTGAATGAAATTAAATTAAACGTTCTGAATTAATCCAAATATTTGAATATCACAAATTTAATAAAAACAAAGAAAAATCTGAATTAAAGTAACTGGATGCAAATACACTATAGTTATTACAGACGTGTGGCGGCAAATTTAAATTGTGGCAGTCACCAAGAGAACAAAATTGTTAATGAAAAACTATGCAGCGGCAGCGGTACTAGAGCGCTATATGAGTGTGTGGATCGAACTATCTTAATTTCCTTCTAGAGCACAGCAGAATTACCCACAGACGTTGCAGCACGAGCGGACTTTGGGGCTCCTGGTCGTGGCTGTTCTTCCACCGCGACGGTGATTCTATTCTATCGACAAGCGAAGAAACGTGCCGCTCTAGCCAGGCTGTTACGGTCGCAAACTCATCATCCCGACTGTTTTATTTCTAAATATACACATCCATGTTTTCACAACAAGAAATTTAAAACATGGTTAAAATGGTACGTTTTTGCAAGGAAATATGGATTTTGCAATTATGGGGTGGAGCCTAATTGCAAAATCTATATTTCCCTATACAAATTTTCCATTTTAAACATATTTTAAGTTTTATGTTGTGAAAAGAAGTCTACACATTTTAAAACAACAGGGCAAAATCTAAGCTCACCCACCCACCCTATCTCAATTCTACAAATTTTTTCTATTCGCCGTGAACCAAGAGGGCGGAGCTTAACTGCAAAATACTTATTTCTTTACAAGAAATTAACAACATGTTTTTGAATATCGTGTTGTTCGAAGACTACCATGCACATTAAGACAAAAAACAAAATATGAACCCCACCCACCCACCCCATTTCAATTGTGATGATCTTTTTTTATTTTTAGAAGCTTACAATACGTTTAAAATGGTGAAAATAACACGATACTAAAAAACATGTCTTACATGGTAATTTCTTGTAGAGAAATAATAAGGATTTTGCAATTAAATTCCGCTCCATTGACTGTCGACGATAAAAAAAAAATCATTACAATTGAGATAAGGCGGGTGGGCGGGGCTTATATTTTGCCTCTTTTCTTAATATACGTAGTCGTTTTTTCAGGACAAGAAACTTAAAACATGTTTAAAATGGTACATTTGGAAATATGGATTTTGCAATTATGGAGTGGGGCCTGATTGCAAGATCGATATTTCCTTATACAAATTTTCCAATTTAAACATATTTTAATTTTTATATTGTGAAAAGAAGTCTACACATATTAAAACAAAAAAACAAAATCTAAGACCGCCCACCCGCCCTATCTCAATTGTAATGATTTTTTTTATTCGCAGTTAACCAAGAGGGCGAAGCTTAACTGCAAAATACTTATTTCTTTAGAAGAAATTAAAAACATGTTTTTGAGTATCGTGTTGTGCATAGAATAGTATGCGTATTAAGAAAATGGACAAAATATAAACCCCGCCCGCCCACCTCATCACAATTGTGATGACTTTTTTTATTGTTAGAAACTTAAAACATGTTTAAAATTTTTTTGCAATTAAGCCCCGCCCCTCCCCTCGATTT